CTCAAACAAATGGAAGAGTTTAAGAAGGTCAAAGATAGATTTGAAATATGGAAGAAAGAGTACAAGAATCGATTAAAGGAGACAAGGGCAAAATTGGTAAAAGGTGTAAATGGGGAAGGAGGGACAACAATGTCATGGTGGGGGAAGTTAAGCAAGAGATATTAACTAGTGTTTATAAGTTTGCTTGTTCATGTTGTTTAGAAAAAGAAAAAAAAAAAAAGGAAAATCTTATATCAAATGGTAAAGTGTTTTTTTCTTCTTATTTTATATTGTTAGGGTATTGGGTTTCAACTGTTATCGTGAACTGTGAAAATATATGAAAAGATAATTTTTTTTTTTTTCAATTGTGATACTTTGATTTGGTTTCCTTGGTATTTTGATTTGGATGGGTGTCATGTGTTTAAGTTATATAATGTATCATATATGTTTAGATTCTGATTTTTTCATTTGGATTGAATCACATGGTTTTGCTCAATGTATGTTTAGTTCTTAACTTCAAACTAGATATTATGTTTAAGATAAGTAATTAATTTTATATTTATGATTATAAGTACATTCTTTTCATTTATAGACGTAGGGTAAATTGGATTTATTTTCATAAAAATAGAAACAAATTTTAAGAATGTAGTGTTTTATTCATTTATTCAGATATTTTGACAGGCTTGATGAAAAAGGGGATGTGGTCTCTGTTAATTACAATGTTCATGTCAATTACAATTAATTTTAACAGGAGGGTGTTTGAATTTTAAGATTCCAAGGTCATTTGGTTAAAATTAAACAATACGTTTTCAAAATAGAGATCCTACCATTTGATTTTGCATCTCGATCACAGACGCTTCCTTATCCATCGTGAAATAGTTGTAGTTCCTTTGTATTTCTATCTGTGTTTGTCTGTTGCAAAAACAAAAATCAAAGCTCTAGTCATATGATGATGATGGTTCGTTGGTGAGTTGGTTGAATTATTAGAGGTGTGAGGCGAGGCTGGCTGATGATGATGGTGTTGTGACAGGAGAGATAGAGATGAAGGACCGATTAGTGGTGTAGAGATGGAGGAAGGGTCGTGTTAAGGTGTTCGGTTGGGAGGAGAAGTGTAAGAGGAGGAAGTTGAGTACTAGATGTTGTAAGCTGAGGAAGCTGAGTGTATTCAATTTAGGTATTGATCCGTACTTTATTTCAAAACTAGTTTATAACCCGTGGAAACCACGGTTATAAAATTAATTGAAATTTTATAGTAAAACCTCAAAATTAATAATTAATTATTTTTTATAAATTATTAAATTACGATATATTTTTATTAGTTTTGTGAAATTATAATCGTTAATTCAAATAAATATATATAATTAATTTCTAATATATATTAGAAATTTTTTATTTGTGAATTAATGAAAACAATAATATAAAATTTAAAATTTAAAATGGGGAATAAATATATTGACAAATAACATCACATTAATTAGGAGGTCTAATAAATTTAAAAGGGAGAACTAATAGATTGACAAGTGGCATCATATTAATTAAAATGTCTAATATAGTGACACATGGAAAAATGACTACTCTTTTATTAGTATAAGGATGGGGCGTATTTTATTTAGGTATTTGATCTTGTTTCTAGTACAACTCATGAACCGTATTAGATGTTGTAATTGGGCGTATTATATTTATTTAGCCTTTTCTAATACGGTTTTTATTTACAACAGTATTAGATGGGTGTTGTTTTCCGGTAGTGATTAAAGCCCAGAGTCATTCCTGAAATAGCCTTACATCTCTTCAAAACCACAAAAAGTTTCAAATTTTCTCTTGGTGACGATACAAATAATGAAAGAAACCAAAGACACATAAACAACAATTCATACCTATCATTTCAGACTTACAAGAAACCCTATCTGTAGTATCTCGAGTTTAGTAGTTTATGCTATGCTTCCAATTATTCATATCACACGCACACACCAAAGAGCAACAACGAGATGTAAAACAAATCGGAGGATTTACCTGATAATTTCATGATCTAGGGTTCATATTTTATCCTATCAGCTCCCTATTTATATTCTTAGCATCTAAAGTGTATGTTTTTCATTATATTCAAGGTATGGTCCACGTGTGAGTTTCTCATCAGCCTTTTGATAATCTCCGAAACAGCATTTCACATAAAATCCTTCTGACTTTGGGCGTATTCGGGAAAACTAGTTGGTAGCGGGTAGCTTGTAGCGTGTAGCGGGTAGCTTGTAGCTTGTAGCGTTTTGTTAAACGCTACATGAAGTACCATTTGGATTTGGAGCGTTTTGATTAAACTAAACGCTAGAAGTTTGTAGTATCAAACGAGACTTTTTGTTTTAAACGGAGCGTTTTGTTAAACGCTAGAAGCTCTCAAACGCTCCGTGCCGAACACACCCTTTCAAAAACCCTTTCCATCCTCCGTACTTTATTTTGAAAGAGATAGAAAGGCTTGTATAATAAGCAAATATAATATCAGAAGTGGTGTATATTTATACAACTCTCCATCCTTTAATTTAAATTTACAGAAATGATCCTTAGATTTTATGAAATTTCATAAATGTTTAACAATATTTCATAAGCAAATATAAAGGCTTGTATAATAAGCAAATATAATATCAGAAGTGGTGTATATTTATACAACTCTCCATCCTTTAATTTAAATTTACAGAAATGATCCTTAGATTTTATGAAATTTCATAAATGTTTAACAATATTTCATAAATGGTCCCTATCTCAAATGAATTTTCATATTTTATCCCTATGACTCTGTAAAATACAAAATGGTCCCTATCTAAGCAAATTTATAGAAGTAGACTGATGTTTTACAAAATATAATAATGATCCCTCTTTAATAGCAAAAGTAGATACATATGGTCTCTATATTTCTCAAAAACTATAGAGATAGTGCCTACGCAATATCTTATTTATAAATTATCATTGTGTTTCAACAAAACTACATAAATAGTCCCACTTAAGTAAAAATATAGAAATGATCCCCATGTTTATAAAAATTACATAAATGGTCCATGTCTAATAACATTTTTTTAGAAAAAAATTTAGAAGTGTGAAAATTTATAGAAATATGCAAGCGTGATGAAAGGTTTAGAAAAATTCTCTATGCTTCTTAAACGTATAGAAATAGTCCATGCATGATACTACATGAAAAGTGACCTTAAGTTCTCCGACTACTGAAATGAACTGACATACTTTCTTGCTGTCTATCCAAGCTGAAGACCATCCGAGTAGAAGTGTTCATCAAGACAAAGTGGCTGATTTTGTTTTATACATGTTTGTAGATTAGGAAAGAAGATTAATGGAATCTTTTGTCAGTTGTATCTCTGTATCTCTGAGTTGTATCTCTGGTTGATCTTCACCTTTTACTTTTGTCCTATTTATTCCCTTTGTGTCATTACTTGTGATATCGCAATATTGAGTCATATTTTAGGCGATAACTTTGCATTCATAGCTACATTTTAATCATTTTCACTTCCTAACCCTCCATCCTTTCATTTTTACCATCCCCTAATGTGTCTAACATTTTTCTATCCTATTTCATTTAATGAGTTAACTCTCAGTTAAAATCAACTTTCATGGATTTGAGCATTTAATCCCTCAACCTCAAAGGCTTACACCTAGATCACCATTTTGACCGAAGACTATCTAGTTACTTTATATTTACATAATTAACCCATTTCCATATAATTTATGACATTCAAATCTTATTTGGTCAATAAGAATCAAATCTCAAATTTCACGAATTGACAACTTTGGTCCCTATAACATAACTTCTTCAATTTAATTCTATTAAAATTCTATTTTATTTCTATCATTATTTTTATTACTTTTAGTTATAATTTTTATATTATTTTCCCAAAAAAAGTGTTCACTAAAAATGACAAAAACTTCTAAGACGATTATTTTGCGGATGTTACAACTAATCATTTGGCCATCGGTTGATAATCCTATAGGACGGGAGTGTTTCCTTGGGGGTGTAACTTGTCTTTTTTAACCTTAATCCCTAAGGTTGATAATCCACTACAAAATATATATCATTTAGTGGCACACAAAAAGTGCCACTAAAACTTTAAAAAAAATGCCGCTAAAGGCTTGTCAGAGATTCTGCAGCACACATAATAAGTGCCACTAGAAATGCTCCCATTAAAAACCTTTAGTGGTACTTTTTGTTTTTGGCGCTGTAGTTTTTAGTAGCATTTTTTCATTTGCCACAATAGAAAAAAGTTATTTGTGGCACATATTTTGTGCCACTAAAGGCTAATTTGATTCAAGCATTGATGCTACATTTAGTTACACATTTCAAGATTTTAGAATTTGTCACAATACATAAAAATGTTTTGTGGCACATTTTGCGATGAGAAATACACATGAGCTTTATAATTTAGGATACTTATATCCACATATATATATATATATATATATATATATATATATATATATATATATATATATAAAAGAAAAAAGAAAAAATCGAATTAACTAAAAAATAATATCATTTACTTTCGTACACATCTAATTGTAATTAAATACTTGCCGATAATATTCGGTCTCTGTATTCATTTATCAGGATGTGCAATTGAACATAGTAATGAATCTAAAAAGGAAATGTGTTTTAGTGGTAAATAAATATATAAATATATACTATAATCAATACCCTCATATAAAACAACTTATTAATTCTTTGGAGAGAATACTAGTTGCATTATAAATTGGAACATGATGTTTACATATGGCCTATACCAAACAAAAGACAAATATACCCTTTTTCCAAAAGCAAACACATTTGCAGGAGTCTCATATTAATACGTAGGAAAACATTAATGATAAGTCTTACAGTGGCAGTATCATATGTGTTGAGCCCGACACCAACAATAAAAATAGGTCGCTCCTTTAACAAGAAACCAAACAATAGTCAATGAAGATCACTTTGGAATCTTTAATTACCATGTTTCTTTGGGGATAAAATTGACAAATATTGTGAAGATGAGTACCTCTTTTGTGTAACATGACGTTCCTAAAAGCTGTGAATCTGAAAATCCTTTATAAAGGTCAGTGGGAACAATCGGTTTCTATATAGATAAACAAAAAAGTTAATATGTTGCATGGACTTATCGTGTTACATTTATGGAAATCATTAATATGATATTTATATAACATGCACCACGTTAAAGAAAATAGTACAAACTCACCAATAATATATTATCAATCTCATTTTTGAATCCTCTAACTTAAACAATCAACAAGTTGAAAAGAGAACATTTTATGGTTTGAAATCTTGAAATAACATATTAATTTCAAGAAATGAATTTGAGCTTACCATTTTTTGGGACTTGGGGACATTTCCAACCCTTGCTTTTAGAAACCAGACCAGAGCTTCAGTTGCTTCAGTTGGATACCCTTAATGCAAATCACATTCAATTTGACAAGAATTAGTCAACTAGAAAAATTATTAAAAGTTCAAATATAAATTATTATAATTATAGATATAGTCAAGGGCATATGTTGTGCCAAGAAGAGGGTGGTCAAAGATTTAATGTTAGCTAATGGTAGAAATTGAATCGTGAAGTGAGAAGACAATAAATTTTGTGGGATTATTAAGAAATTTGTTAGATTTGAAATTGTCGAGAAGCTTTGAGATTCATCCCAAACTGTGTGAAATACCATAATTGCCCTGGACCTTCACGCCTACAGGCTACAAGTATACTGAATGCTTGCTTCCACCTGTACAAATAAGAAGAAATCTTGAAGCCAATGAACAAATTGAACTCCTTATGAGATAGAAAAATATGCAAAAAGAACAGATACATTTGGATTGATACTAATTTCATGGAATACCTCATTTGGAGGAACTTGGTGAAGAACCTCTCAACGTCAATAGTGTCACTGGGGCTTTAACAGTTTCACCACCTCTTTTTCTCTCTTTGGCATTTCTATAAACACATTATGTGCACTTTTTTTAAGCATGTTGTGAACCTCTACAACCCAATTTCTAGCATCATTCTGATCAAGTCCTTCTTTAGGAACCTCTCTAATTCCATCCAAAGCACATGGTTTATGAAAATGAATCATTTTATGAAGCCGATTTGAAGAAGATATTCACGAATGTGACCAATTTGAGAGAGAAAGAGATGGAACCTCATATTAGGAACCAATGAGTTTACATATACATAAATCGGTAAAACAAATTAACAACACTAGAATAAAAACGAAACAAAAAGAACGAAAGAACTCACACTCTGCCAATTCCTTTGGGTCTTACTTCCATCTCCAAATCTACATTAGAATTTTGAAGATATCTTTGAATGCAAGCAACGATGTACGCCGACGAAGATGTGGAGCGAAGACGGAGTTATGATCCGGTGTCGACGAAGATAAGGTAGTTACAGTATGTTTAGATCAGCGTAAGCGGGCGTGGGATTTGGGGTTTCAGTATTTTCTTAGGTTAAGGGGTGAGAGATTAGAGGAAGTCCCAACAGTTAATCACAATCCAAGATAATTGAAATTATTTAGTGAAAATTACTAGAGAAATAAAAAATAAAATGTTAATATTATAACTGAATTTTCTTAATTGTTATAATAATTTGATAAAACAAAATTCTTTAGAGGTACATTACATTATTATGCCGCATATGAATATTAGAAACATAAAATATTAAGTGTCACTAAATACATGAAGTTTTTAATGACATATAAAACAAAATTCTTTAGAGGTACATCACATCAAACATATGCCATTAAATATGTGTGCCACTATATGTCATTTTATTTGTAGTGATCCTACCGAGATTAAAGACTATAGACCTATCAGATTGATTGTTTTTCAATATAAAATAATTGCTAAACTGTTAACTAATCGGTTGGCTAAGGTGGTAGGAGAGATTGTTCATCCTGTGCAGTCGGCTTTTGTTGAAGGAAGGCAGATTTTGGATGGTGCTTTGATGGTTAATGAGGTAGTTATGTGAGCAACAGCTAAACAGAAAAAGATGATGCTTTTTAAAGTTGATTTTGAAAAGGCATACAATTCGGTATCGTGGGATTATTTAGATTTTATTCTTGATGCTATGGGGTTCGGGGTTAGATGGCGGGATTGGATACGAGGGTGTTTGAGATCTGCTAGATCGTTGATCCTACTCGATGGTAGCCCTACTGGTGAATTTCAAATGTATAGAGGTCTCCATCAAGGTGATCCTTTATCTCCTTTTTTATTTATTATTGTTATGGAAGGGTTGCATGTGTGTTTGGAGGATGCTATTTAGAATGGTATGTTCAAAGGCTTGAATATTGGTGATCAAAATTTACAGCTATCGCATTTATTTTATGTTGATGATGCTATTTTTATGGGCGACTGGGATGTAGAAAATGTGTGTGGTCTTATTCAGATCCTTCGGGTTTTTTTCATTACTTCCAGCCTACAGATCAATCTTCATAAGTCAAAGATCTATGGAATTGGAGTTTCTACAAATGCATGCCAACAAGTCGCTAGTTGTACAGGTTCATTTCCTTTTTTGTATCTTGGTTTACCTGTTGGGGATAAAATGCATAGGGTGGCAGCTTGGGATACTCTTTTGGATAGGTTTCAAAAAAGACTTTTTGTATGGAAGTCTAAAATGTTATCTATCGGTGGGAGACTCACGTTGGTTAAGTCCGTTTTGGGGAGTCTGGGAATTTATTATTTATCACTTTTTAAGATGCTAGTTACTGTGTGTTGGAAGTTGGAGAGAATTCGGGCTAGATTTTTTTGGGGCGCAGAAGATCAAGATCGAATTCTTCAGTGGGTGAAATGGGAGGTTATTTTAAACAAGAAAGAATATGGCGGGTTGGCGATTGGTAGTTTGAAAGCTTTCAATGAGGCTTTAATTTACAAGTGGAGATGGCTATTCCTAAATGGTGCTAATCTCCTTTGGGTTATTTTGACCAAAAGTTGTCATTGGAGTGATGGTGGTTTTTTGTTGTCTTCATCTTATAGGTCGAAGTCGGGGGTATGGATGAGGGTGGTTAATTTAGTTTGGAATCTTCATAATAATGGTAAGATTCCTTTTGATTCTATGAGAAAGACAAGTAAGTAATGGTGTCAGTACTAGATTTTGATTGGATGTGTGGGTGGGGGATGTTATTTTAAAGACAAGATTTCCAAGGTTGTTTGTTGTGGCAGTTAATGGTGAGGCGGTTGTCAGTGATTATTGGGTGGGTAATACTGGAAGATTCCATGGATGAGATCGATAAGTGGAGGAGTGTTGGAATCCCATCATCAGCAATTACATGAGATGTTGGATTCAGTTCATATTACAAATAGAATAGAGTCGTGGAGATGGTCTCTTGGGGTGGAAGACATGTTCTCCGTCAAGTTTGCTAGATCTCGTTTAGACCTCATGTCGCTTTCTATGGGTGATAGTCCTACAAGGTGAAATATTTCTCTTCTTATAAAAATTAATATTTTTATATGGAGGCTTATCCTTAATCGCTTACCGACGAGGAGTAACCTTCATCATCGGGGAATTGATTTGTCTACTATTTTATGTCCACGTTGTGGGGAGGCGATAGAAGATGGTGTTCACTTATTTTTGAAGTGTTCGATGGCTCGTCAATTATGGCTTAAGTTTGCTAGATGGATAGATCTGACGGTGCCATCCTTTAACACTATTGAAGATGTTTTTGAGTGGATTGATAGTCAAGCTGTTGCAAATGCTCAGAGATTGATCCTTGAGATGACTTGTGCTACTCTAATTTGGGTTCTTTGGACTTATCCGAATGCGTTAGTTTTTGGGATCGTGAAGTACAAGAAAGAGTTGATGTTTGATTCTATTGTCTCGTTTTCTTTTAATTGGTTTTGTAGTAGGAACCGTAAAGTTAAGAAAACTATAACCGGGTGGCTTCAAAATCCCCTCATGAACTAATTGTTCTCTTTTTGTTTTGGGTAGCTGCTAGCTAGCCTTTTTTTTAATTTTCACTGCCGTTAAAAAAAAAAATCATTTGGCCATCGGATCCAATATTCTAAAAAGGGAATGGAAACGACCATGGCTTACGAATTACAACTAGAACTGCACATTCAAACTAGTCCAGACCAATCTCCAAAATAGGCTACAAACAAAGTCAGGCTTGGACCGAGGAGTCTCAAGTCGATCTAGACCAGTAGTCCGAAGCCAATCCACCAATTTTAAAAATCTAATGGTCCCGAAACAGTCTTGTTTTGGTTGAAGTTGGATTGGTAAAGTTTAAGATTTAAAAAAACTAGTCCGTAGTTTTAAATACATGATCTAAACCATTTGAAAATCAGTTCAAACCGGCACTCAAACTGTCTTTAGACTTCTCTAACTTAGAAATTATAATAGTCTTAGTAATATATATATATTTTAATATAGGATTATTTATGATAAAACCTTTTCTTGATAGTCGTAATCTTTTATGTTAAGTATTCTGCCTTATAGGGGTTTTTAGGCTTTTTATTTTGTTTTTGTGTAGGTCCAATTCCAACCAAAAACTTAGGAACCAGCCTATGACCTGCCTTTTTCCGAGCTAGGTCTAGTATCACAACGTATGTCTGTAATGAGTTTCAACCTCAGGCCGGTTTGTTACCGTAATGCAGTTCTATCATCTTTCAAATGTATGTATAATTTAGTTCTTGAACTTTCAACAAAATTATCTTACTTTCATAAAGAAAAGGACAAATATGTATAATGTTAAACGTTACTATATTAGAAGAAACAATAATCCAGCAAACATCCATGGAACGATCACATCATAAGTTCATATCATACATAGGTTTCTACAATAAGATATACTCACAATATCTTGAAATACAAATTAACCAAACCTTGGTTAACATTAAACCAGTGAACAAGGAACAATCGAACAACCACAGCAGCCATGCTCAACCCGTGTTCTGCATTCCAGCTGCAATACCTTTCATGGTCAAGATAAGTGTGTCCTCAAGCCCTGGCCCATAGTCACTTGTTGGGTTGAGCTTCACAAGCTCTGCAGCTGGTTTAGTCGATTCCATTATTTCTTTGGACAAATGTGGCCTCAGCTTCACATCATAGCTAGGGTCCCGTATCCGCTTCAAGGTGTATGCTTGAAGCACATTAAGTGTTGTGATGTACGAGTCTCGTAATCTAAGTCTTTGCTTCAAATATGGATCACCATCAAGCAGATTTCGGTGTCCCGCAATCTACACAAAATCATAGCAAAACTAATAGTTAGAAAAAACAATAGTGATTTTTGTAAAAAGGATTATTCTTCGGCAACCACCGAGCTAGCCCATAATCCCAAATGTCATGCTCATGATCATCATGTGAGATATAAATCAGTTAAAGTTATAAAGTATAAAGTGTTTTTCAATAAGTGTTTTTTTAAATATAAAGTGGTGGATGGTGACCTAAGTGCTTTGGTAGAAGTTATTAATAAGTTTGTATTATATTGTATGAAAAAAATCATCTTTGAGGTGCATGGAAGTTGAATCCAAAGCTTCATTAAGGGCAATTAGGTGTTTTCACAAAAATATAAAAAGTGGTGGGATTTGGAAGATAGAGAAAAGGGCATTCATGAATTACCAAGAGGAGGAGGCTTTTAGTGTCTTCATAATTGGCCCTCAAGCGCTCGCCGAACGGCAAAAGTTCTTCAGAAACAAGGAGTTTGTCATACAATGCAGCGATCCCGGGATTCCCTTTGGCAAACACCATTTCTACTAAATCGATAGATACTCTAAAGAAAGGCCACTCATTGTA